TTTCTTGCTTTCTTCTCTCCTCGACGTGTTGTTCTACGGTGTTGTTTTCATATTGAATTGTTTTCTTTGGTGACATTTTCGTCCACGATGTTTACGATGGACACCTTTTGTAGGCGCGCAGACGTTCCAACTGTCATGATGCCTTTATGCGTGCAAAAACAATTCTTGTATGCCTGCTGGCGGTAAACCTAAATTAAAAGGTTTTCGGTATCAGTATTTGGCTATCATAAAAGTGAGTCATCGTAAGTCGGGCCAAAAATCGAGCACTACGTGTCTAATATTCTCAACATTTAACATTGTTGTACATTTGATTTGAGTAAATTGTGCTTTGACTTGTCACAGTTTTCCCTTCCTTGGTCTTGCTTCATTTTATAGAGGATGGAACAGTACTTAGACGGTTAGTTTCTCAGCTTCTTGTTTTTAAAGCGTGTATTAAGATGAGCGCTTTAAAATCAAACTAAGAACCTTTTCTTAAAACTAAAGATTCTATTTAAGTAAAACTACATTTAGAAGAAGCCTCGGTTAGGCACATTATTTCAGACATTGCTTATTTTAAAGATAATGAAATTAAGATCGGAAGCTTGGCTGCAGAACATTAGAGCATGTATATTAATTATCTTTTTGTTTTATAAAAATGACTACTCAATAAAGGCTTTAAGTTATAGAAAACAATAAAACAAATAAGTCTGAAAATAAATATGTTAAAATAAAATGCTAAAACGGAAAAGAAAATTATATTAAAATTAAAGAGTTATCACATGTTTCGTTAATAATGCCTGATGTTAGAGATCAAATTAAATTTCTTGTTTGCAGGACTACTAGTTTTCCTGTTTCCATTTAAAAATGCATAAACGGTAGATACTATTGAAATTTAATTTATAAATTTGATTTAAAAGTAAACCTCTAGAGTTCTAGACTGTTTCTCCCAGTAAATTTTAATCTTGAAACTTCTCTCCTTTTAAAACTCTCTATATATGGTTTACCAACTATAATCATCCCTCGCATTCAAAAACTGTCAGTGTTTGTAAAATAAAAACTAAAATTTAGAATGGAACTGAACTGCTTCAACATGAAAAAAACCGCTCTTTAAATCTAATGTAGTAATACCATAGCTGATTCTAATTTATCAATAACGTCGTCAGTTAAGGGCAGAGGAAAACGATCGCGAATTACTTTTTTATTCATACGCCTAAAGTCCAGACATAGTCTAAACGAACCGTATTTTTTTCTACTTATCAAGATAATACTTGCGTAATTAGAACAGCTTGGTTTAATGATTTGTTTCTCTAACCATTCCGAAATCTGTTTATCAATTTCACGCTGCTCTGCGGGGGGGTGGAAACGTCGCGCGCGCAATGAACTGGAAGTTGATCTGTCAGCACTATTCGCATCTTAAGAGCAGACTTTTTATTTTATTCGGCTTATAATTCCTCACTAACTGCAGTATTTCATCTCGATGTATTCCGTCTTTGAAATGATTTAAATCAATTTCCTCGTCATTATAAATATCACGATTACACGTCAAATAGTTTTCTGGTTGCAATTTTCTAATTTGACCCCTTTTTCATTTACAGTTAATTCTCCTTGCCTTATACTATCAGTACCAATGACCGCTTGTAAAAACATTTCGTTTTTTGCGATAACACAAACATTTTATCGAAATGAAGAACCATCAATTTCGAATTCACCTTCAAATCTTCCTATAGGCTTAATTTTCCCATTACCAAACCCCGTTAACTGTAAATCTGCAGACTTAAGTTCAGGAGAACGTATCTTCTTATGTATATCTTCTCGAATTAGCGTTACTTGACTACCAGTAGCTATTAAAGCATCAATTTGCAAATTACCAAAATTAACAGTTTTATGCATTTCTTTCTGACAAGTCTGAGTTATTGGTGTTACAGGTTAGGCATCTTGGATATTTTTAGAGATATATCCCTACGAACATGTAGGGAAATATTGCTAGGCATTATAATGTTTTCGTCCACTGAATTATTTATGGGAGGTGATTCAACAGAATTAATATTATCATTTTTATCAGAATCATAAACACTTTCTTCTTCAGATAACTCATTGTCGTCATCACGTTCGGATTTTAGAAGCTTAAAATCCCAAAGACTATTCAATATTAAATCACAGTTTTTAATAAGAATTTGAATCATAATTAAGATGTGACAAATTACACACAGAAATAAAATCATTTGCAGTAAAAGTTTGAAGTAATTTTTGTTTTGTTTCTTCCATATTAAAATCAGATGGAAAACCACAAAAGTTACGCAATCTTGCTCTAATTTTTCAATCACCTAATGTTCCAAACACAGTTTGATGTAAGAGTTTAATTGACTTAGTCCGACCAGTCCTTAAAGAATTTGAAATTCTAGGAATAGAATTTAAGGCAGTCATTTTAATTCACAGTATCGTAGAACACTATTCTTAGAAGCAACAATGTGGAAATAATTGAAAAAATCCTGCTTCTTTTCTTTTGTAATATTCGTCATAATTCTTTCTAGGCTCATCGCGGCTGGAACCCCCATGTTTGTAGGAAATTTTGTTCTATCTAGAAATATGATGAATGTGAACGTATTGTCTAGGGGCTTAAAATAATGAATCCAATTTATGGGGATATTTAAGGGAAGCACAAATAGCTGCTACAAACTACAAGGTGATTGCATCTGTGGCAGAAAATAGATTAGGTTATTTACAGATGGAATAGAGAATAACGACCTCTATATATACACGTCTGTGAATGCCGTCTATTATTATTGTATATTCTTTATCTTATTTCTAACTAATTAATCAAGGTAAAACAAAACTGCTTACCTTGTTCCAATGGGTTCGGCCAGGGCCAATGGGCTGAAGTTCCTCTGTGCTGTGCATCTGCAAAATCTTGAGAGGGATAATCCATAAATGATAAACTTTCTTAACACAAATATATTTAATGAAGACGTTAACGGTTACATAATTTTTACATAATGAAAGGTTTAAATGTTCGCACGACGCAGCGTGCGACTTCTCAGTCCCGAGTTCTCGTGATCTCTAGCGAGAGTTAATAGTTCGAGATGACGTCACTCAGCCATCGGATCTCAGCAAGAGTTGAGTTGCAACATCCTCCCGCCCGGAAGGACAATTGCCGTAATTGTCCTTATTACATTCCAGCTCCACCGGATATAGTAATTGCACTGGTCTTTTAATCGTATGTCCATTGGGCAAGCGGACAGCACAGGCTCTGACCTTGCCATCTCTTCCAGGAAAGGTTTCCATTATGATGCCCATCTTCCCCATCAGCCTTGGAATTTTATCTTCATGTACTAATGCAATAGTTCCTTTCTTCAAACAGGTTCCTGTTTTCGCTAGTTTGGAATGATGAGCAGATTTTAAATTCATCAAATAATCCTGTCTCCATTTCCGCCAGATTCTTTCTACCAGTATCTGTTGATGTCTAAATCGACGTGTAAGACTCTCCTTTGTTGAAGTTAATTTAGAGCTTCCTTGTGGTAATGATAGTAATTGTCTTCCTATTAAGAAGTGACCAGGGGTCAAAGATTCTGGCTCTCCTAGATCCGAGTATGTAAATGTTAAAGGTCTGAAGTTCAATTTAGCTTCCACTTCTGTTATGACTGTCTCTAATTCCCTGAATGTCAAGGATGATTTTCCTAAGATTCTCTTCAGAAGAGCTTTAACAGACTGAACCATACGCTCCCAAAAGCCTCCCCACCATGCCGACCTCTCAACTATAAATTTCCATTTGATTCCTTGCTTAGAGAACTCGTCTTGAACTTTATTGCTTTTCATCACCTCGTTCAATAGTTCTAATTCTTTTTTCGCTCTTTTAAGGGTTTTGGCGTTATCGGTATACACTATTCGGCACAAACCTCTTCTCGCTATGAACCGTCTAAATGCAAGCAAAAATTTTTTTCTGTGGAAAGGTCAGTCTGTAAGTTCTAAATGCACGGCTCTGGTTACAGCACAGGTAAACAGTAAAAATGTATGTCTTAGATAATTCTTTTCCACTTTTGACGTACAGTGGACCCACGTAATCTATGAAAAAGCCCGGAGTTCCCGGAGTTCAAACGGAAAAGGCTTCTCGGCATCTGTCTGGTGGGAGAGGTGCCATATCTTGCATGACAGGTTTCGTTCGAAATATTTTGCAGACATTGCAATTGTACAGAACACTTTTAATTTTTCGACGAGCCTTCAGCAACCAAAATTTGTCTCTTATCTGATTTAAAGTATCTGCTATTCCTCCGTGCCCTACCACCTGATGACTGTGAAGAATAATTAGATCAGTCAAATGATATTTGTCAGGCAACACGATTGGATGTGCTTGTTTGAAATCCAAATTTGAATTTTCTAATCGTCCACCAACACGAATTACACCACTTTCGTCTACAAATGGACTGATGGATTTCAGTTTTGATTTTGAACCTAATTCTTCGTTGTTCTTCAATGCCCGTATTTCATTTGTGAAATTTCGCTCCTGAACACGTTTGATCCAATAAGTCTCTGCCATTTCCAATTCGGTAACCTGCAAACATCCTGATAATTTCGAAGTATTTTTAACATTGTTGATGAATCTTAAGCACCACGCAGTAATTCGGTAAATTCGATGTAATTGCTGTAATTTTCGGTTTTAAATAAATCTTCTGAAGGTTCGGTAACACACGAATTTACGAAAACTTCCTTTGATGTTTTTCTTAGTTCCTTATTGGAATCTTCAATGTTCTTTGTGGAACATAAATTCGGTTTTTGCCAGTGTTCCATTTCTTCCTTTAACCACGTGGGCCCCTCCCACCATATGCTATTCTGCTTCACATGTTTGACATTTTCACCTCTAATTAGCAAATCAGCTGGATTGTGTTCACCAGGCGTATATCTCCAGTTCAAGACATCTGAATTCTTCTGTATTTCCTTCACTCTGTTTTGAACGAATGGCTTCCACCTTTTCACATCACTTCTAATCCAGTGTAACGTTATACTAGAATCAGTCCACATATATACGATTAAATCATGTCCCTAAGTTTCTTTTGAATGTAATTTGACAAGCGCGAGCCTATCAAAGCACCCATCAATTCCAATCTGGGAAGCGATAATTTTTTCAAAGGTGCTACTCGTGATTTTGATGTAATGAAACTTGTATGAATGACAGCATTTTTCGAATAACGAAAATACAGAACAGCCCCATAAGCCTTCTGACTCGCATCTGTGAAACAGTGTAACTGTAAACCATCCTTTATATCCCTTTTCCCAGCACCTGCAAACTGATGTCTTGGTATTTCCAAACTAGAAATATGAGCTAATTCATCACACCAGCTTTGCCAATTCTTTCTGAGATTTTCTGGTATTTCAGTGTCCCATGCTATCTTTTGTTCCCACAAATCTTGTAATAAAATCCTAGCTCGAATGGTGCATGGATTTAAAAACCCCAGTGGATCAAAGAAACGTCCTACAAATCTCAAGATTTCCCTTTTAGTGGGTATGTTATCTATCCTTTTCGCATCTTTTACCAACTCTTCAATTTCTATCAAAAATGTATCATTTGGCCTATTCCATATGTATCCCAATACTTTAGAACAAGTCGAATCGTGTGAAAAATCTTCTTCATTCCATACCCTTTGTAAATTCGTTTCATTCGTTTTCCACTTCCGCATGTTAAATCCACCTTCTTTCAGTATGTGTTTAATATGTTCCGATTCCTCGAATGCTTCTGATTCTTCATCTGCTCCAGCGATTAAATCGTCAACATACATATTTTCAGTTAGCATGGAAAATACGTTCGGATACTGTAACTTGTATTTGTCAACATGTACATTAAGAGTTGCTCTGAGAAGAATTGGACTAGATGTTGCTCCAAAAATTACCCTTGTCATACGAAGAGCCTTTATTTTGGTTCCATTTAATACACCATCGTTCCATAGAAACTTGACTGCGTTTCTGTCTTCATCAGCAAGAGAAATCTGCAATAATGCTTGTTCGATGTCAGCTGTAAACGCAATTCGATTTTGACGGAACTTAAGGAGCAATTCCAGTATGTCTGGACACATCTTAGGACCTGAATGTAAACAGTCATTTAATAACAAACAATTCTCCGCATGTGACGAAGCGTCAAAAACCACACGGAGTTTTGTAGTTTCCTTGTTTTCTCTTATAACGGCTTGATGCGGCATAAAATACGTTTTTTGGTCCAATTTCAATGTTAGTCTCTTCGGCGATTCCTTCTTTTAAGTACCTATCAATTACTTCGCGATATCTGTCATAGAACTGTTGATTATTCTGGAATCTACGACTTAAACTCTTAAATTTAATTTTTTTCGCGATATCTGTCATAGAACTGTTGATTATTCTGAAATCTACGACTTAAACTCTTAAATTTAATTTTAGCAATCTCCAGCTTATCTCCAAGCTCATTTGAATTATGATTCCAAGGAAGGCGCACAATATAACGATTGTTTTCAAACTTCACAGATCTTTTGAAATTATCGAAAACTAAATTATCTTCTAATTCAAGTTCCTTATCCGAATCATAATTTATCCCCATAGAATCGAGCTCCCAGAGATTCTTCAGCAAACTAGACAGTGATTCGTTCTGTGTATCTTTATTATTATAAACCACAACCTTCATCGTATTCACATTACTTGGGAAAATTCCGTAAGCCCTTTCTTACTTAAAAGTACTTACAACGGTACTTAAAAGAAGGAAGGAAATTATCGAAAACTAAATTATCTTCTAATTCAAGTTCCTTATCCGAATCATAATTTATCCCCATAGAATCGAGCTCCCAGAGATTCTTCAGCAAACTAGACAGTGATTCGTTCTGTGTATCTTTATTATTATAAACCACAACCTTCATCGTATTCACATTACTTGGGAAAATTCCGTAAGCCCTTTCTGTTCCACTAATGGTCCAACCCAATTTTGTTTCAACCGCTACTAAGGAATTAGACAGTCTACGAACCTTACCCGTAACTATTTTCCAATAAAAATCCGCTCCTATGAGCAAAGAAATTTTCGGCGGTTTATTCCCTGGTCCCCATTCATCGGAAAGTTGTATGCCCTGCTTTTTAATAAGATTAACTATTTCATTTCTAGGGGAATAAATATGTGATCCATTAATGACAGGAATAATTAAAGCTTCTATTTTGATTTCATATCGATGCTTCGAATTACGCAAAATGAGCCTGGTTTTTTTAACATTTTGCGCTTCAGACGTCGTGCAACCTAAAGAGAATATTTTTATTTTTTCTTCTCCAATAACGGGGAGTTTTAATTTCTTACAGATGTCCTCTCTAATAAATGTTCGCTGCGATCCTAAATCAAACAGCAAGCGAACGCTTTGCTGGCGCCAATTGCCTGTGTTTATAATTTCAGCTCGTGCTGTCAGAAGAAATGAGTTATTTGCTGTTGCGCAATCGGAAACAGAAGAGACTACTGCCCCTTGGACGGGACTCTGGTCTGACGCATTCGATTCGTCAGAATGTATCAATGTATGATGTCGCCGATCGCAAATACCACAAGTTAGTTTCGATTTGCACATCCTAGCTAAATGGCGTCTTTTGAGGCATCTGAAACAAAAACCCCTTCGCCTTAACGCTTCCTTTTTTTCTGCCACAGTTTTTTGACATGATTCTGACGTATGATTTTCAGAACAGAATAAACAGGTATTAGATAGTGATGTGTTTAACGCTGCCGCTGAAGGAATTCTACCCTTATTATAATCCCGATTTCTTTCGCTGTCTCGAAAACGTTCTCCAAACTGCCGCTTATTTTCCAAATGGGATTTCTTTTCAGTGACTTCAGAATCTGTTGGCTTAATTAAAACTCCTGTACGTTCTCGACTTTCTATTTCTTTTCTTAGAAAATGGAGCAAATTCGTAATTTTTGTCTGATTATCATCTTCATATTTCCTATTAAATTCTAGTGCTAAATCATTCGGAATCACCTTTATTAATATCGGATATAATAAGGTACTGTACGAATCCGGTAAAATATTACACGATTCTAATCCTCTAATTTGTACTTCACAACGATCATATAATTTTCGAAGTGCTGTCACATCGCCAGACCTTTTAACCAGAGGCAGAGTTATTAAATTGTTCATATGGGTATCTATTATTAGTTCTTTGCGTCCGAAGCAATCTTTTAATATTTTCACAGCCTTCTCGTAATTCTCCGCTGTTAATGTCAACCCTTATATTGCAGTTTCTGCATCGGAAGTAAGAATTGACTTTAAATAGTTAAATTTATCAACGGCATGTAGACTTTCGTTTTCGTGTACAGCTGTCTCAAATCGTGCCCAAAACCCGGGCCAACTGCACACGTCCTTTCCCGAAAATGTTTCCAGTGCCAATTTGGGGAGTTTAATTTTGTTCTGCGATTCAGTGACATTTCCACATGAAGTAGAATTAGCGCTATGTGGATTAGCATTTAAATATCTTTTCGCGCGTAATTTCCAAACAATAATTTTACTTTTATACTCTTCTCTAGACATTATCTCATCTTCTAAATTTGCTACATCAATTAAAGTTTCAATACCATTATCCGCTAAGATTAGTTCTTCTTCTTTACTAAGTAACTGAGCGACCGTTTCTTCAATTACGTTTTTATCCCCCTCATTAGCAATTTCTGTTTCTATTTTATTTATTAGTCTCGTAACTACTGCTCTTATAGCAGATCGTTTCCTTTTTAATTTTTCTAAATCCATGTTTTTGCTTAAGCAAAATCTATTAAATTTCAGTTCAAATTCAACCCAATGGCCCCACGTTGGGCGCCACAATATTATTATTGTATATTCTTTATCTTACTTCTAACTAGTTAATCAAGGTAAAACAAAACTGCTTACCTTGTTCCAATGGGTTCGGCCAGGGCCAATGGGCTGAAGTTCCTCTGTGCTGTGCATCTGCAAAATCTTGAGAGGGATAATCCATAAATGATAAACTTTCTTAACACAAATATATTTAATGAAGACGTTAACGGTTACATAATTTTTACATAACGAAAGGTTTAAATGTTCGCACGACGCAGCGTGCGACTTCTCAGTCCCGAGTTCTCGTGATCTCTAGCGAGAGTTAATAGTTCGAGATGACGTCACTCAGCCATCGGATCTCAGCAAGAGTTGAGTTGCAACACCGTCATCATCGTCATGGTGTTACAAACGTCCTTCTGCGAATGATTGCGCAGCTCACTCTGTCGTAGCACTCGGGATCCAAAGGTCCTTTCTCTACAACTTGACGCTACATCTACTCGATGACGCATCCCCATATATATATAAATATATATACTTAGTCGATCATCACGTGCTACTAACCTCAATAGAACATTTATTCCTCAAATGGATTTCTGTAAAATAGTATTAGCAAAAGTCAAGTTTGTGCGTTCGTCCATCTGCAAGTCCGCAAGTGCTTAACGTCAGTGAAAACGAAGTGTAAAATTTATTCGGCCATCTCTTAGATGTTTAGAAGTGAAAAAAAGTATCGTTGAGCCGTGGTATTTTATAAGTGTTTCAAAAAACAATCGCGCATATTGTTTGCAGAATGAAAGTAATCTCCAGATAAATCACAAAGTTCGAATGTGTAGTGAAAAGGAGAACTGAATTTGTATCGGCCATCTCTACAATATTTAGAAAGAAGAAAAATGTTTTAAATAATTAGTGAATTAATGCTTAAGAGATTCAGCATATTACGGTGTGATCAAGGTCGTTGATCTGGATTTGTGCTTCAACTATGTGTGGCAGAAAATTATTACTTGCGCTACCTTTTTCCAAATAGGCTTTCGTCCGTCGAAAATTCAAATTGTTAACCTTCATGTGACCTGAACGCGCATTTATTTTTCCAAGGAGACAAAATTATTAAATATGCTGCGAACTCCAAATTTTGCATTTAAATTTTACTTAAAAGTTTCTGCAATCTGATCGTGCTGTTTTGCAAAAATATGAAAATATTCTTCAAAATGAATGTGAAATTCAATATTCACATTTTAAAATTATCTACGATAAAATTAATTAACGAATTTAAAGGTATTTAAACTTTTAGAGGGAAGGTTATTAAGATAAATAGTCGTACTTTGAATTTGTTCAAAATTTTGAATTGTTGATAAGAATTTTATGTGAGTGAAATAATTTTGAACAAATAGTATAGAATATGATAAAAAATAGTGTTTGAGTCTTACTGCGGTAAATTTTCAGCGTTTTGATATAAAATATTGTAATAATAGTTCAAGAAACTGAATAATTATCGTAAGTAGTATAGAATTATGTTAACTAATTTTAAAATTGATGAATGATTATATGTTCAGATAAACTTTGAAAGCTCTTTCTTTTATTTTTTGCGTTTTTAAAAACTATTTTTTAATCTAATGGTGTGTAGTTAATATTTTTTACGGAATATTATGGTGCAGTTCAAAAAAGCAGCTTGTCCTTTAAACAAGGAACGGAGGCCTTTATAAGTAACCGCCGTTAACGTCTCTTTAACCATTGGTGAAAATTCATACACTAATTAGTTAACGTGAATTTTCCCAAAAGATGGTGATGTTTAAATTACTGATCATGTTTTCGAAAAAGCAAATAACTCGCCTTATCCTACAATTAAAGAACTCACCGAATATTATCCTTTAATAGAATATGTTGCAAGAAGCCCAAGATCTATTCATCACAATGCACACTGATGGTAACTGTAAATATGAATATACTTTACAAATGCTTACTTAATTCAAACTTACGTGCATAACTGCTTGCTTGACCTTTGTTGCTTCTGATTCTTTCGCCTTCGGGTATGGTGCTCAAAACCTTAATTTTTATATCTACCGTGAAAGGCCTTAGGGCATATTTTGATTTACTGGCAAAAACTCAAAGTAGTTCATGCCAGCAGCAAAATGATAATCCATGATCCATGGTGGAAATGGCTGTATTAGAGAAAACTGTGGGGTCTTCGAGTTTGTGCACATAAGTAAATTAGAAATGTACACAACGATAGAAAGCATAAGTTTAGCAACAGTACTTCAAACGTTTCAAATGAAAATAATAACATAATAGAACCTACCTAGAAAAGAATTATGTTATTTCGCGATATCATTCGAGTTTCCGTAGAGGTAGGACGCCTGTTGACAATATGTTGCTTTTGGAAACCTCTATCCGTAAAGACTTTGTGAAAAGAAATCATCTAGTTTCAGTTTTCTTTGACATTGAAAAGGTTTACGATAAGGCATGGAGATATGACATTTTGCGAGATCTTCACGCTACTGGTTTGCGCAGCAACCTACCGGTTTTCATCCAGAATTTTCTGAAGACAAGGTCGTTTCAAGTGAGGTTTGGCTCTGTGTTTTAAAAAAGCTTTCAACAAAAGGAGGGTCTGCCTCAAGGTTGTGTTTTAAGTTTTACCTTATTCACTCTAAAAACGAACTCGGTTTTAAAGGAGCTTTCTCCTTCGGTTTCGGGATAATTGTCCATTGATGACCTTCAGATCAGTTGTCAAGGTGCAGATTTGAGATACGTAAAGAGACAACTGCAGATCGCTCTATACAGGATTCAGAAATGGGCAAATAGGAATGGTTTACAGTTCTCAAAGCAGAAGACAGATTGCATGGAGTTTTGCAGAATTCGAGGTCTCTATCCTGAACCTGAGCTTTATCTTCAAGAGTCACTGATTCCAGTTGTATCTGAAGTAAAATAGTCCATCATCCATGTCAGATGCTTTTGCTCGATGACACGAGTGACCGCTTATCTGGAGCCCATCCATCCTGTGTGCCTTCCGTGTAATCGTCCGCTCTCTTAAAAGAAAATAGTGCATGGACGATGTGGATATCCAGCCAGTGAAATCTTTTAAGATCGCTCCTTGGGTATTCAGGTACTGCATATCTTTCAGCATCTTGGAAAACGTAACACTAACAAGATCGTGTATAAACAAACTTTTCTTGAGCACAGAGATGAGTACAGCAGTTATATGGCCATACACAGATGAATCAAAAGCAGCAAATCATGTTGGAGCAGCCTTTGTGACTGGAAACCATGCGGAGGGTAAGTGCTTACACGAGACATGCTCTATGCTCACTTCAGAACTAACTACTACTCGGATAGATAACAGCTCGATGAATACGCGGATACCGAATTTTTGGATATACGTCAAACGGTTAATTAATTACGAAGTAATTAATATTTATAGCAATACGTTCAGCGTGGTGATTCCAGCTAGCAGTCTTCAAGCGATCGCCGAGCAGCCATTGGAAGCCGACGCTTATTAAATTGGATATCATTGGAAAGAGGATTTCCCAAGGAGAATTTTGATGCTAATTACAAGCCCGATGGACAATTAGAACGGGAGTAATTAATTCTTAAATTAAGCGAATTTACAGCCACGTGGTTCCCATGACCCCTGACCTTTCCAACGTTTCAACACCCGTACAACGGTCATCCGCATTCCATTGACTCCCCCGTCGAAGTCCTTCATTCTTCATCTAACAAAGGAAGGAGAAAGGACTGGGACTCCTTGAATAATTTTGCTAATTAGTCAACTAATTAAAGCAGCTAATTGGAACTAACGGATTTGGATTTCTGAAGTGTCAAGGATCACAGAGACATATCTCTTTCTAATTATCGGACGTGTATAACCCGAGATAACAATTTTGTGCTAATTCCGGACTTTGAAATTTGATAACTGCGCGTTATTGTTTATATGCAAAGGTGTGGTGAATATTATGTGCGTGTGCTATTTGTTTGGAATTACGTGTATATAGAAGCAGACCAAGACAACAGAGAAGCGATATCGGCCAAGGTAGGCTTTAAGCGCTGATTAAGTAACTAATTAATTTTAATTACAACCTACCTAATCTTAACTTCTGGTAATAATTCTTAACTAGTACTTTAATAATACTGTTACAGACCCAAGTTTGACCTAGGTACTTTTAGACTCTTAATTCTTGTCGTTCAGTTCTCTATTCTAATTAATTACTGTTAATTAACTGACCAAATAACAGTATCCTTATAAAAGTTCTGGTACTCTGGCTAAATTTATCAAGTATCTGTTACCATGTATTTATGTATTTTCAGGCAACAGATTCAAAAGTGTTTCACCGTTGATTAACCGCCTCTAATTAAGCTAATTAACAGTGTTGATTTTGATTATTGTACTTCATACCTATGTAACTCTGATTTTTGCATCTTGTATTCACTCAGATTTTACAGTATTTAAGTGACTGTTTACCAGATATTCGGTACTTTAATTAGTATTAATTGATCCTATTCAATTAGCAATCCTCAGTTAAATTGTAGTAATTTTCTAACTCTTAGTGCTATTTACATGTTTACTTTTTAGTGCTATTTACATGTTATGAGTAAATATTTAAGTATACCAGATTGTAATTTCCTGTGAACTAGACAAACTATCACATAGTGTACAATTAGAGTCTTTACGTTGGCATAAATAAGATAATACGTGTAATTACACAAGGTATTTAAGTGCCATTCTTTTTACAAAGTTATTACAGTGCTGAGTGAAACAGTGTTCTTTACAGTGAAAGTGTTTAATGTACTGTGTGTGCTAATTCAGTGATTAAACGTCAATTTACAAGCGTTATTTAGAGTCACATCCAGTGTTACAACGTGAGCTGATAGTGCATAACCACCAGTCTTCAGTTCACGATAAGTGTGTGCTATAGCTCAACGATTCAAGCTTCGTTAGTGCTTATATGTGCAAATTGTGTCAACAACAGTGCTAATAAGTGAATTAATCGTGCCCAGCCCCTAGTCAAAGCGTCGGTAAAGTATAGTGCGTGATTTAGTTCAGTGTTCAAGCAACGTTAGTGCATCTCAGTGAAAGTTATTATACATTTCAGTGCGATACAGTGCATCACAAGTGTAAATACGTGCAAATTGTTCCAATATCAATTTCAGTGTCTTTAAGTGAATGAATAGTGCATGGCCACTAGTTAAAGCCCTCAGCTAGAAATATAGTGTTTGTTGCAGTGACCAAGCAACGCTAGGCTTTGTTTCAGTGAAGTTAGTTTTCTCTTCAGTGATTTAAAGTGCGACACTAGTGTCATAGCTAGTGTGAATAGTATCGTACAGTGTTTTTAAGTGCATACAACGCTGAAATAAGCGTATTTTAGTGTACACATCAGTGTCAAGAGTGATTTCAATAGTGCATTATACGTGTTACCCAGCGCCTCCATAGTGTCAATTTAAAGGATCACGCTTCTACTTGTGACATGACACGCCAGTCCAAGCTCCCAGAGGAAGCCAGTAATTCAACACAGCTTAATTCAGCAGAATTGCTAGAGTCCGATCGGACAACACCAGAAAAGATCGCTGCACTAGCCAACGAGATCCGGAATATCACCGATACAAGCCGAGGAGGTAGATACCTTCTCCCTCAAGATTTAAGGAATAGACTGAAGGACGCATTATCTGTGCTCCAAGGCCTTGCCTTAGAGGGTCCAGAGTATCGCCCCAAACCGCCAGCAATAGAGGCAGGTACCAATACCTCTACTTTTGTTTGCTGTGGTACAGTGCATACTCCCTCTCCATCTGCGCAACAGCCCGCCTGTGAGCAGGCCCCTCCGCAAACAGTAAACAGTACACCGCAAAGCTTTGCAGAGGCCGTGCGCAAGAACAGTAAGCCCAGTCTCGTGATTAAACCAAAGACCAAAAGGCCAACAGACGATTTGCGGAGAGCTCTACAAGACAAGGTCCCTTTGGACAAAATCCCCGTAGCAGTACGGAGAATACAGCCCGCCCCGCAAGGAGGTCTGGAAGTCTATTGTGATACCTCCGAAGAAGTTGACAAGTTAAAGGACCATCTTCAAAAAGCAGACATCGATATAGATATACAGAGAGGAAACAGCGACGTCGACCAAGAATAGCAGTACATAATGTCGGGGAGCATACCAAGCCAGAGGAGCTCATCTCTGAGCTCAGCACGACAGCAGGAATCTCCGCCCTGCATTTCAAGATTCTCTTCCGTCTGCGTGAGCGACGTCCACAGAGGGTCAAATGGATCATCGAGTGCTCCACAGAAGGATTTGCTGCAGCAATCAAGACAAAGCGCATATTCACGGCATGGCAGGCGCATGGCATCTCCGAGTTCCTTGGAGTACGAAGATGCTATCGCTGCCAACAGTTTGGACACAGCCAGGACGTGTGCAGGTCCTCCAAGATCTTCTGCGGTTTCTGCTCCGGCGCTCACGCAACCAGAGACTGCACTGGAGACCAACCATCATGCATTAATTGCGGAGACGCAAATTACAGGTTGGGTACCAGATACAATTTCCACCACCCTGCCTATGCAGCAGAATGCGCAATTTATCAACGGGCAGTTGACAACGTCCGTAGCGCAACGGAATACTGAAGAGAAAGTGTCTGTGAACACCCATACAGAAGCAAGTACGTCACAGCCTTCAGTTACTTCTGCACCTCATACCAGTAATAGTCTAACCCAGCCACCTCAGCAACTGGACGCTGCACTGACAACGGACATTAATATGGACACGATCCCAGTTCAGTTCAAACACCAATAAGGTGCCTTCAGATTAATCTGCAACATGCCAAAGCAGCCACGGCACAAGCTGCCGCATATGCCGCAACCGAAGGGGTTGATCTAATATTTGCCCAAGAACCATACTGCTTGAAGGGAAAAGCGGTAGGCTATCCTCTACAATGGACAGTGTACCAAAAAGAAGATGTTAACGATTCACCCCGTGCAATACTGATCAATTGCAACCCAGCGTGGACACCGGTTATCATCACCACAGAAAGAGACTTCGTGGCTATTCTTCTTGAGATGCACAACATAACGGTTCTCTTGGTCTCACTATACTCCCCTCCGACAGCTAATATAGATACAACTATCCAGCGAATGCAGCAACTACTTCAGCGGTACAGGTCCCATAACATCTTATGTGCTGGGGATTTCAACGCCCACAGTTCCACATGGGGATATGCCAGCACTGATCCTAAAGGCCGGATGCTAGAAGATTTCTTTTCTAGTCAAAATATGAGCGTACTTAATCATCATGATGCTGCACCCACCTTCGATCGCGTCCACTCACAGGGATGGCCCGACCTTACAGTAGCAACATTGCAAATTGCGCAAAAGATTCAGGATTGGACGGTCGTGGAAGGCTTAAGCCTTTCAGACCACAATTATATTAGATTTTCTATCGCCAGTGAGACAGCCACCTCGATAATCAAGAGGTATAACTTGCCAGGTAATAAAGTAAGGACATTTGCTGCAGCCATTAAATCCCAACTTGCCCACTTCGCAGAGTTGATCGAACAAGCAACTACCACCGAAGCCTTACAAGTTATCACGAGTGACATAATGTCCACCATAAGAACAGTTTGTAATGAATTGTTGCCAACCAGAACAACCAAAAAGATCTCTAATCTAAACTGGTGGAGCAGTCATCTCAGAGAACAACAGCAGAAATTTCGCGCCCTTAGACGCCGTCTTAAGCAGGAGCGGCGTCACAATATTTCTTCTAACACGCTCATCACCTTTCAACAGGAAAGAGCAAAAATATAAGAAAATGATCCTACAGGCCAAACTGGAAAGCTGGAGAAAATTTTGCACGGAAAATACCGAAATATATGGCATACACCACAAGATTGCCACGTGTAAGCTTTTCAAACCCGCCTCCTTCCATCTGCTACCTGTCCCAGAGATCTCCAATAAACTCACAGAGACCATGCTTGCAGAAATCGTGAAGGCGGTCTTCGCCACAGACGACCCCTCCGAAGACACGCAAGCACATAGAATAATCCGATATGATACCTCGGACATTGATACTGCAGAAGATGCTTGTTTCACAAAACAAGAAATATTGCACGTCTTAAAGTGCCTACCGCAAAAGAAAGCACCTGGGCCGGACGGAGTAGACTATCGTATAATTAAACTCATTGTGCGTTCGAATATCAATCTATTTCGACAGCTATTCAACAAGCTACTAAGTACCGGCACGTTCCCCAGGTGCTTCAAGATCGGCCAAGTAATTCTATTCCTTAAAAAGAACAAGGATCCGAGAAGAGCGGATGCCTACAGACCAATATGCTTACTATCAAAGACGCTTAAAAGAACAAGGATCCGAGAAGAGCGGATGCCTACAGACCAATATGCTTACTATCAGCGCTTGGTAAGACATTTGAAAAGTTGCTAGTGAACAGGCTCCGACATCACTTGCACTCTAGTAATTACCTGAGCGAGGATCAATATGGGTTCCGTACAGGCAGATCCACCGTCCATGCTCTCATGAAGGTTAAAGAATGTCTCCTACAAAACAGATTGTCCGGTCATCACACCGCGTTCATCTCAGTCGATCTCAAAAGTGCCTTTGACACGTTGTGGTGGCCGGCAATCCTACGGGCACTAAGGAACTCACGCTGTCCACGGAATATCTATCGGACACTGGAGAACTATCTCGCAGAACGAAAACTAATTCTGCAGCATAATAGTGGCATACTACAAAATAATCAAACAAGGGGATGTCCGCAGGGTTCCTGCGCGGGACCCTTCCTATGGAACTTAACGTACAATAGTATACTTACACAGCCGTGGCCAAGTCACACGAAAATAGTTGCATATGCCGATGACACGGCACTAATAGTACAAGGCCCCACTAGAGAGCAATTGCAGAGAAACTGCCAAGAATCCTGCGACCTCTTTCAGGAGCGATGTGCAACGCTGAAGTTGAAGATTGCCGAAGAAAAATCCCAAGTTTTATTGATTCCAAAAAAGGGAGGCTCCCTAACGCGACAACCACGCATCACGCTCAATGGGAAACGACTTGCAATCAAGCGAGAACTCAAATACTTGGGAATAATATTTGATGACAAACTGAATTGGATAGCGCATGTGCTCTCCCTAAAACAGCGCACAGCAAGCATCGCTCAGCAGCTCAAGATGATGAAAGGATATCGCTGGGGTCTCAACCCCCATATCCTCAAGATCCTCTATAACACCGTCACTGAGAAGATCGTGACGTATGGAGCAGCTGTCTGGGCCTTACCGATGCAGGGCAGAAAAGTAAAGCATTTGCAAAGCATCCAACGGCCGTTTTTATTAAATATCACGAGAGCATTTAGAACTTCCCCGACCAATGCACTGGCAGTCCTGGCTGGCATACTACCCTTGTCCATTAGTGTCGAGAAGGAAGCTACGTACCAGATAGTCAAGCAACTCGGCCAAACAACGCAATTTGGGGAAGAGGTGTTTACTGCAGATAACCTCGAAAAGAGCAGTCATCAGCCTTGACAGGCACCCGTCTTTGCAAGGACGGGGTGTTAATGTCAACCTAAAGCAGACCACAAGATCCACGAACATAGATGTTACCTATTATACGGATGGATCTAAAATAGACGACAGTGTGGGCTGTGCATATGCAGCACTTAAAGAGGGTAGAATAGTAAGCCAATGGAAGGGGCATTTGGAAGCGCACAATAGTGTCTTCCAAAGCGAGGCCACAGCTATAAGCTATGCACTGCAAGCGATAATTCAGCAGAGGCTATACAATAGTTACATAATAACAGACAGCCTGTCTACGTTATGCGCCATCCTTAACCCCACCCACAGTTCTCCAATAATAGCAGCTATTCAGGAATACCTCCGTGCTCATAAAGAATTAAAAATTAATCTAGAATGGACGAAAGCCCATATCGGGAATCATGGTAATGAGACTGCAGATCGGCTTGCAAAAGAAGCAGCCCATAACGTCGAAGCAGTCCCAGTACAAATCCCATGGCCGGTTTCTCATTTAAAACGGAATCTGCGCGCCACAGCTCTAGCACTCTGGCAGGCTGCGTGGGACAACGAAGACACAGGCCGCCGAGCGCATACATTTCTGCCTAAAGTAGATAGGGAACTACTGGTTGCACGGCCACAAATGGTGTATTACATCACAGGGCATGGGCCCTTTCCAGTATATTTTGAGAGATTTGGAATCTCCAATTCGGATCAGTGCTGCTGCGGCGATCTGGGCACAGCAGAACACTACGTTCATGAATGTCCTCTCACGGAGGGAATGCACATTCCGTTCCCGCAGACGAACAGGGAGGCATTCAACAGATTTATGGTCAAGCAGCGACACCAGACCAACAAAATTACTCATATAGTTGATAAGCTAATGGACATGGGTCCAGACTTATGCCATGTGTAAATATAACTGGTCAGTATGTCAGCAAATTTCAATGTAAATCAGTATCATTCAAGCATAAGTAATCTAGGTATGTCTGCGATGTGTGTATATAGTGTGGGCAAGCGTGTCCTAATGTATGTTATTATTATTATTATTATTATTATTATTATTATTATTTTATTTTTATCTTTATTGTGCTAGGTGTATATACTAGCTCTGTCTTATTATTCCAAAGCAAATTAAGGTAATGTCATGTAGGTATTTAGAAAGTATATGTATGTAACAGTGCTGGATTGCATGTCAGCAAATATGTATTAACAGAAGCATGTAAATAACTACTAATGTATATCTGCCCTTGTTTAGCCATGTACAATGCTATTCTTGAAGATTCAAAAATCACTGGACCCGGGCACTTTGGACGGGTGTCTACCCGGTGGTATTTGGTTCGCGGAACTGCCAACCGGATGGTCCAGGCGTTGGGTTTGGGAGCCTTGTGCAAGCCTCTCATGTGGCCTCTCTGGCTTTACTCTGTATAAGGGCGGACGTGGCCCTATATGCTAATTAACTTAATAGTAAAGGGGTGGTGGCCACGTCCTCCGTCACTATCACTATCCTACTGAGCCAACATGTACAAAACAATCCAGCACTACCTGTCAGACTGAAGCGTCATTGTCGTCCACAACGGAGGTATACTCCAGAGGAGGCAGTCCCGCGGATGCCCACAAGGCTCATGCGCGGGCCCCCACCTCTGGAACATAACTTTCAACAATATTCTCTCTGCACAGTGGCCGGAGCATACAAGGGTTATAGCTTACGCGGACGACGCGGCCTTTATAGTAAAAGGTCGCACGAGAGAGGAACTACAAGCGAACAGAAATCAGACCTGCTCACTGTTCAGCGAAAAATGCCAGAAGATAATAATAGCGGAAAGCAAGTCACAAATTCTGCTTTTCCCCAAAAAAAGGAGGATGACTGGTTAGACAGCCTCGCATTACCATCAATGGCCAGCGAATAAAAATAGTTAAGCAATTAAAATATCTGGGTCTACTGTTTGATAATAAATTGAAAACTGGATCCCACATGTAATTGACCTCAAAAAAACGTACCGCGACCATTGCCAAGAACATGCGGTTAATGCAGGGTCACAGTTGGGGCCTCAATCCGCATATTCATAAGATCATCTATCAGACAGTTGCAGAAAAGATTGTAACGTATGCGGCGGCTGTATGGGCCCAGCCGATGCAAAGCCGTAAAGTGCGGCATCTTTCAAGTATACAAAGGCAATTTATGTTAAACATCACGAGGGCCTACCGCACGACAGCAACTAGCGCACTGAACATTTTAGCAGGTCTCGTTCCCCTTCACATCAGCGCCGAAAGGGAGGCAGTCCTGCAACAAGTTAAGCAACTGCGGCAACCAGCCACTTTATATGAAGAAACTTACTGGCCCAGAGATTATGAAATTCCAGCCAATCCACTTGAGTTTCACCCAGCACAGCAGAGCGTAGGAGTACGAATCAACCTCAAAGGGCGACCTGAAGATATGAACAGGTACAATACCCGTATCTTTACTGATGGGTCAAAAATGGATGACAACGTCGGATGTGCGTACGTAATGTTTCAAGGCCAAGAACAGGTCGCGCAATGGAAGGGCCATCTGAACAAAAACAACAGCGTCTTTCAAGGGGAGGCACTGGCAATTCAAAAGGCAGTACAACATATTGCTTACCATAACATCAGGAATGCAGCAATAGTTTCCGACAGCATGTCAGCCCTACAAGCCATCCAAAATCCGGCACACACGTCCACAATTATCAAAGAAATTCAATACCATCTAAGGCAGACAGAGCATCTGCATGTTCGCCTGGCATGGACGAAAGCCCACGCAGGAAACACCTGTAACGAGGCAGCCGACCTCCTCGCGAAAGACGCAGCCCTCAAAAAGAAGCAGAGAGGAATTGGAAATTCCATGGCCACACTCTTCTTTGAAACGACATCTCCATCTGCAGGCTCTCGCTAAGTGGCAGGAAGAATGGGACACTGCACAAACAGGCAGGCGTACACACTACCATCTAATGTACGTAAACCCTGCCCGGCTATGTTCTAATACGCACTTGGTGCGCTATATCACGGGCCATGGGCCTTTCCCGGAGTACTTTGCCAGGCATGGCGTGACTGACACAGATCAGTGCAGTTGTGGCCACCTGGGTACTCCGGAGCATTATGTCACAACCTGCCCACTTACCAGCGAACTGCACATACGTATTCCAACTGTCAATACGCAGGCCTTCTGTAAATTCATGATTAAGCAAGAAGCACCTGTGTCGACAGATCATTAAAATTATGAATTTACTTGCCAGACACGGCACTGACCTTTGCGCAGTCGAATAATTAGT